TCATGTTTCTTCGTGTATTTATAAAATAGGATTTTTTTCCGTTAATCTATTTATTAATTAACAAATAAGATAGACTTTGTATCAAACAATTAAGTAATTGAGATTTCCCATGCACATGAACCTATCATTAACATACACATTTCTCCTTGCGTTATCTCTCACACAAAAGGTTAAGCGTTAAAGTACACTATAATTAAAATCTAAGTGCTATGTGCCAGACACATTTTGTACAAATATTAAAAATACAGATCAGCCTATAACTACCGACCAAAAAAAAACAAAAAACACGAGAGCTTTTAATCACAAGTAAAGGCATTTTTAAAGGTTTTGTCAGTTGCTTTTAAGTCATGGTTTTAAATTTATAAAAATTCTGACGAATATAAATAGAAAGAATATGCTTACTCCACACAGTTATTTAATTTATCAATAAGTGTGTGCACTCTCAAAATGTTTACTATTCAGCAAATATACTCTCTATATAAAAAATATCTAAAATAATATGGCACAATCAGATTATTGCTTCTTTCAGCACACAAAATAAAGAAGAGATAAAGAGAGAGAAAGAGAGAGAGAGAGAGAGAGAGAGAGAGAGAGAGAGAGAGAGAGAGAGAGAGAGAGAGTGAGAGAGAGAGAGAGAGAGAGAGAGAGAGAGAGAGAGAGAGAGAGAGAGAGAGAGAGAGAGAGAGAGAGAGAGAGAGAGAAGAAATAGAGATTGATATCTAAGAGAGAGAAAGAAACAGAGATTCATATCAAAGAGAGAGAGAGAGGGAGAGAGTAGAAAAAGGAGCCTAATATATAAGAGAGAGAATCACCACTCCAGATGCACAGGGTAGTTTCCATCTAAACAAGCAGTACAGTATCCAGACATATCCTTGTCTTTCGGGGCACCTGCACTCACTGCTTTCACGAGGCCCTCTATGCTTAGGTATGCCAGACTATCGGCACCTGAGAAGGAGAGGAAAAGAGAGAAAAAGTTGTTTTAATACTTGAATAAAAAGGATTAGTTCCGTAGCCCTACGTGTGATCGGTGGTGGTGTAAATCTAATTTGAAATTGTTGTATTTTATTGAATAATGGATCTAATTCAGAGTTTGAACTGCAATATACTCTTTTTTTTATATCTATGATCACAATTAAAAGACTACGAGAAATTCCTAGTTAAAATGTCCGAAGTCAGCATAATAAAAAAAAATATATAAGAATTAACAAAATCCTGAAAAGGCCGTCTTTAAACTCGTGAAAATTGGCCATCAATTTAAACAATTCCTCTCCCAGGAATTTTAACAAAGTGATACACCAAAATAAAAATAAAAATTCTTCATTTCCTATCCCGAGACTTAACAAGATGACAAAAAACAAAAACAAAATAAAACAACCCTTTTATTTCCTATCCTGAGACTTAATAAGGCGATAACACATCACAAACTCACCTATAAAACCAGCCAGTTCTTCAGGAGCTTTCGTATTGGCAATAAGTTCTCCCTTCGTGGGTATGTTGATGCCCATGTAACAGGGGTGCTGGATGGGCGGCGAAGCGATGCGGATGTGAACCTGGGGATTGAAGGAACGTTTTTTATAAAACCTGAAAATTGAATAAACGTTTTTTTTATAATAAGTAAACCTGTAGATTGAATAAACGTTTTCTTTTATACTAACAAAACTTGGAGATTGAATAAACGTTATTAAAAAAATAAAAAAAAACACCTGGTGATTGGACAACGTCTTTTTTTTACAAGTAAACTTGGAGATTGAACAAACTTTTTATAATAAGTAACCTGGAGATTGAACAAATGTTTCTTATAAGTAAACTTGGAGATTGAACAATCATTTTTTTAATAATAAGTAAACCTGGAGATTGAACAACCTTTTTTATAATAAGTAAACCTGGACATTGAACAAAGTTGTTGTTTTTTTATATGATAAATAAGCCTGCAGATTGAACAATTTTTTTAATAAGTAAACCTGGAGATTGAACAAATTTTTTTTTTATAAATAAACATGGACATTGAACAAACTTTTTTTTATAATAAATAAACCTAGAGATTGAACAAACGTTTTTTATAAGTAAACCTGGACATTGAACAAAAAAAAAAAATATTTCATAATAAGTAAACCTCGAGTACGATTTTCACTTATACTCTGTAAGCAGAAATGAAATGTTTTTCATATGGTTTTCTTATTAGCTGTTTATGTTCCAGAAATGTTAAGACAAAGCCAAATTAACAATTATATAGCAACTAAGTTAATAACTATCAAATGCCATGAAAGCTCGCTTGCCAAGTACCGAGATGAACAAACTTTTTTTTTATAATAAAAAAACCTGGAGATCGAACAAACTTTTTTTTTATAATAAGGAAAGCTGGAGATTGAACAAACTTTTTTTTTATAATAAGTAAACCTGGAGATTGAACGAACTTTTTTTTTATAACAAGGAAACCTGGAGATTGAACAAAAAAAAAAAATATCTAAACAAGAATTATTTTATTAACGCTAACCCAAATCTATGTCATACAGACCCGCCATTTCACAAAAAGTAAAAAATCTAAAACCAATAACTCACAATATCAGGAATTATTCATTAAAAAATGTATACAGTGTGTACAGTTCACTTTATTTATCAAGATTTGATTGGCTTAGATGTCTAGCACTTTTTTTTTTTCTTTTCTTTTTCTTTTTTCTTTTTTCTTTTTGCTTTTAACCATTAACCATTAAACACTGTCTCATACATATTTGAGATGCACGAAGTATTATTAGACTTTAAAATAAACAACCTAAAAAACATTATGAAAAAAGTAATGTCAGTTCTTATCTTACCCTAAAGGACCCCCTGAAACCCATCCATACACCCTCTAGGGATTTCAAGGACCCCCTGGTTTATAGGGTTTTAGACTATACTGTAGTCTATACTCTCTCTAGACCCCAGGTTAAGAGCCCCAGTTTTATAGGGTTGTAGACTATACTGTAGCCTATACTCCCTCTAGACTCACCTCCTTAGCCCCATACTGTTTCAGGAGTCGAACCAGCGGACCGATTGTCGTGCCTCTAACAATCGAGTCGTCCACGAGGACCACCCTCCGACCGTCCAAGTTGGCTGCGATGGCCCCGAACTTCTTCGCGACTGCAAGCTGCCTGGAACGCGTGTCTGGCTGGATGAAGCTGCGACCCACGTACCTGTTTCTGCACAGAACCTCCACGTAGGGAATGCCAGACTGTTGGAAAGAAATGACCGTTAATAGTAACTCGTTTTCTTTTTTTTTTCCTTTTTTGGAGGGGGGGGGGATACTGAGGACTGTTGTTAAACATAAAAAGTTAATGAGTATTGAAAAGTTCATTTCTTATTAATCAAAGTTAATATTAAAATGTTTTAATAGTCTTAAATCTGGGTA